GAGTATAACCACATTTAAAGCTCTTGATAAAACTTTCAGATTGCTTCTCAAAAGGGTTGTACCAACTTTTACTGCCCCTGATGAAGGGAAACTTGTTTTTTTAACCAATTTGCCAGCAATGATTGCAATCATGATTTTTTTTGTTATTTTGATAGGTATCTCATTTTAATAGTCCTTTCTGGATAACTAGTAAGGCTTAATTTTTTAAAAAAATTGTTAAATTAATAAATTTTTTTTTTTTCTGTTCATGCCTTTTGCCCTACTAAGGTGGTTATATTTTTGTTTCATGTGGAAGAGCCCTTTCTAAAGACATGAACCTTTGGGGGGCACCCTTCTTTAGAGTCATGTAAAGGAGAAAAGCAGGAAATGATCACGAAGTTACCTGAAGTTCTGAGTCAAACCAAGACTTATACTCCTTTCTACGTCTAGGGCCCAGCACCTTGTCTGGCACACAGTAGGTTTTCCACACATGACAAAACAGAAGCACACCCCTAGATGCCAAATGGTGCATTGAACTTTATAGGAGGTGGAAGGTGTCCAGAGATCCTGGGAGTAACGCTGGCAAACATGGCTTTGTAACTAAAGGCTGGGTCAGGAAATACCCTCCTATTAAACCCAACCCAGTTTTTAATGAGTTGAAAAAAAATTTTACAGCCAGAAGACAGAAAGGATATACATAACTGAAAGAATCAGAAACACACAAAAAGAAACAGATAAAATGAAGAAATGCTGAGAAGAGTTATTGAATGAAAGGAAACAAAGCACCCTAAAATCAACCAAATAAATTAGTATTTATTCTATAGGTATTACGTATGAGGTATGCTGTTGGCTATGGCGAGTGAGTTGAGATCTGCAGCCTCACTCCAACTTACACAATTACTTATTTCAGAAACTTCTTAGGCAAATCAGTGATGTATCTTGTATAACTCTTGGTTATACATGTACATACTTATGTACATAAATAACACTGAGACCCATAGAGAGGCTCAGGAAAAAGCATCTCCAAAACTAGTGAGGTGTAATGGATTCTGGTGCCTGCCTGCCTACCTTTACTATAAAGATAGATGTTGGGCAGGGCCTATAGCTCAAAGGAGTAGGGCGCTGGCCCCATATGCCAGAGGTGTTGGGTTCAAACCCTGCCCCAGCCAAAAAACTCTCAAAAAAAAAAAAAAGATAGATGTCTTTTTTCTTTTTTTTTAGACAGTCTCACTTTGTCACCCTCAGTAGAGTGCCATAGCATCATAGCTCACATCAACCTCAAACTCTTGGGCTTAACCAATCCTTTTGCTTCGGCCTCCCAAATAGCTAGGACTACAAGCACCTCCTACTTAATGCCCGGCTACTTTTCTGTATTTTTTTTTTAGAGACAGGGTCTCAGTTTTGGTCTAGCTGGTCTTGAACTCCTGAGCTCAAGCAATCCACCTCCCCCAGCCTCCCAGAGTACTGGGATTACAGGCGTGAGCCACTGTACCAGTCTCGGATAGGTGTCTTTTATTTTATTTTTTTTAGAGATAAGAATCTTACATTATCGCCTTTGGTAGAGTGCTGTGGCATCACAGCTCACAGCAACCTGCAACTCCTGGGCTTAGGTGATTCTCTTGCCTCAGCCTCCTGAGTAGCTGGGAATACAGGCACCTGCCAGAACACCTGGCTATTTTTTTGTTGCAGTTTGGCTGGGGCTGGGTTCGAACCCACCACCCTTGGTATATGGGGCTGGCCCCCTACTCACTGAGCCCCAGGCGCTGCCTGGATAGATGTGTTTAACTCACATTTGGTAGAAAAGGAGACAGGGGGTAATTGTGGTAGTATCTCTTGCAAAAACACTTTTTTTTTTTTTTAACCTCTATCCCTTTTAGGGTTGTGAAAGGAACCCATACCAACAAGAGAAAAAAAAAAGAGGAAAAAGAGACTGAGAGGGAACAATCAGCTGTGCACCTAATGTTGTGGAGGGAGACCACTATTCTCCCTAACCTTATGGAGACTTTCATACTCTTCTCTTATGGGGACTTTAACATTAGGGTACTACCTACTGAACACCTGTTAAGGTCTAGGTATTGCCAAGAGCATTATCTATGTTATCACTGGCCCAGTCCAGTGTTTTTTCTTTTGACCTGTAGCTTATATTCCACAACTCCAAGCTGAATCAGTAATTGATGATTAGGCATGCTTTCTTCTCATTCTGTTTATTCCTTTCACACAGCACTTCTCATTCTAAAGCCTTCCATTTCTTATTTCCCCATTATACGAGTTTGGTAAGAGCACAATCAACCCATCTTCCCAAGCATTTAGTAGTGCCTAAATATTCTGTTGAGTGAAAACCCCTGACTTCAAATTTGCCAAAGGATTATGGAAATTTTGAATAGGAAAAGGATTTAGAACGTCCATTTACATAGGAGGAAAATTAAGTTGAAACCAGTAACTCGCCTGAAGTCATATGAACTTGGTAGAGTGAGGATTAGAAACTAGATCCCTGCCTTCCAGCCCAATACCTTTTCTTTGGTAGAAGATTCTACCAAAACACAACCATCTTTATCTTCCAATCTGGCACTACCCAAATCCCATCAGCAATTGACCTTTATGCCTTCAGGCTATTTCTGTGATACTAAATTTCCTAAAACAACCTACTCCTAATGTATGTATAGCTTTCTATTTACAGCTCCCCATTCCAAACAAAGCAAAGTTCAAACTCTAAATTGGCTGGCTTTTTCTCTAGCATCACATAGCGAAAGCTGGGGGAAACTTCTGCTTATATTTTCACTAACAAGTTCTTCCCGTAAGCACCCTTTGATCCAGCCAAATCAAAATGTTTCATTCACACACAGACCATCCTCTATTTTGAGACAGCAGAGACATTCTTTCTGTTCATTCTGAGAGGATTATCCTTCCTCCTTATGAACTTGGTGAACTTCGATCAACTGTTCTCTTTCTGCACTGGGAGCTCCTAGAATAGAAGAGAGAGACCTGGCTTTAGTCACACAGTAATAGAAGGAGCAGTTTGTCTGTCTAGCACCTAGAAGCATATAGCCCTTGATAAAATTCACTGAGTGTGTCTTTGGAAAATTACATAAAAATAACTTACTCTTTAGAGTTATGAGCAACCCTTTACCAAAAGTTTTCTATTTGGAGGAAAGCAAAGTATCTTGGTTCACTCAGTCTTTTCTTCTGTTCCTTAATTCTGGTTATAACTCTGCCATTCTTTCTGTGCTTCCACATTCTCCCAGCACCCCTGCGCCCGGACACTTGTGGGAGAGGAATTCACAAATTCCTTCCACCCTCTATCTCTGGAAGGAGTTCTCAACAGCTAAAAAAGGGCTGGGTTGCAAACAGGAAGTTTTCGTACTCTGGCTTCTTTGTGCCCAGGGCAAAAACTCCAGAGTCCACCTGGAGACTGCAAAAAGTATGGTAGAACAAACAAAACTAACCGTCACCATTCCTAGCTAAAGCTTTGCTAGGTGGACATTCTGATCCAACATCACTCAGGGCTTCTCTTTCCAGAACTTGCATCTCACATGCAAGGCGGAATAGTCCCAAAGGAAAAGTGTCAAGTTTTAGTCCCTGCCCTTCCATCAACTCTTCTTCACTTTTTAAAACCCTGAGTGGGACATTTAAAGGAATGTTTTAGATTTTTAAGCTTTCAAATCATTCGAAGGACAGTCCCCTTTGGCAGTGACAGCTGGAGGCTGTGAGCCAAAGGGAAGCACAAGTTGGTCCCCTAATCTCTCTCAAAGCCCCTTCCTCAAGCTCCCATGAGGGTCAAGAGGCAGTTCTCCTTCGCCTGCGTGCCTGTCCTCGTCAACAACACCCACTGGTCTCATCTCCCAGGGCAGTTGCGGACTCTCAACCACGCGTCCAGGGCCCTTGCCTAGGTACAGGGGTCCCGGGGTCCCCGGCGGCCCCTGCGCGGCGGAGGAGATGCAGTCAGCCCTGGGGAGGTGGGTAGCCCAATGGGCAGCCTCGCCCCGGAGGCTGGCCCAGGCCGGAAGCCACCCCGCGGCACGGCGGCCCCGCGAGACGGCGCCCGCGCCTCCGCCTTCTCGGGCACCGGCTCCAGGACCAAGGGCGGCAGGGGCTAGCCCGCCAGGTCCCCGCCGCGCTCTTTGTCCTGGCCGCGCGCGGGCGGACGCGTGCGCCCCCCCCGGGCGAAGGGAGGCGCGGAGAGAGCGCGCGGGAGCGCGCAGAACAGCTCGTGCCCGCCGACCGCCGGCGGCGCGCGCCTCTCCGCCAGGCGAGCAGCGAGCACGCGCGCCGCCGCCGCGCCCGCCCCTCCCCCCGCGCTCGCC